GTGTTCTGAATTATATGCTCCTGCTGTGAATGTGGAAGTGTTCAGTCTTGACCTGACCCGGGCCTCCAACTGAGCTCTGAATTCTACAATACATACACTAGGGATGTGCAAAATTGCATAATTGTTTGTTCTTTCTTAGGGAAGCCCATATGTAATTACGATGGATTGATGTCATCACGTTTCTTGGGGGATGTTCACATGACACACATTACTGTGTTCAAAAACAGATGGACAGAAAGCGTTAGAATAGACCAGAACACAAAGTCTTATCTATTTTTAACTGCCATTTTAAAAACACAGCGATCACAGGTGAGATGCTGTGGGGAAACAAAAAAACATTGTGAGACAAGGCAACAGCCGTAGACCTCCATCTGCACATATACATAGACCAAAAAAAAAGATGGTCACTGACATACTGTACATTCAACAAATAAATAAGCTAAATACCAATATATCTAATATGTATTAAAATATGTTAGACTAGTCGATCTCAGATGGACTTTATATTGGTTTTAAAAAAATAACAAGGGTTCAGAGCAGGAGATATTGAAGAGAATAAAGTCCAATTGAATTAGCTTATTCGTTGAATGCAAATTAATATCCTCAATTCCAAAGATCTTTAAGCATAAGCCAAAGCCTTTAAGACCCTTTGGTCTGAAATCTTTTATACTAGTCAGTGTTTGTATAACTTAAATTTACCAATCAGCTTAGTTAAAACTGCAGCTGAAAACAAAAAGCAAAGTGATACTGTGGTTATTTCCTTCTGGTGTTTCTCTTTCCCTGCAGGTCAACCGACCCCACCCAGGTGATCATCCACTCTTGTTTCTCTTCCTGGTGGGCGGGGTCACGCCATCAGAGCTCCGCCTCATTCGTGAAGTTGTCTCTAGCCATAAGTCAGGCACTCAGGTGGGGAGTCGCACCCTTTTTTAATTATTCTTTATCTATTACACTATCGTTCAAAACTTTGGGATAGTAAGGGTTTTTTTTGGGGGGGGGGGGGGGGGGGGGGGGGTCATCATTTACTCACCCTCAAGTTGTTGCAAACCTGTATGAGTTTCTTTCTTCTGCCGAACACAATACAAAGGAAGATATTTTGAAGAACGATTGGAACTTTGGCACCATAGTATTTTTTTTTTTTCTACTATGGAAGTCAATGGTGCCAAACAACTGTTTTGTTCCAATCGTTCTTCAAAATATCTTCCTTTGTGTTCAGCAGAAGAAAGAAACTCATACAGGTTTGCAACAACTTGAGGGTGAGTAAATGATGACAGAATTTTCATTTTTGGGTGGAGTATCCCTTTAAGTTACAGTAATTTCTTTTCTACTTTTCTGCATTGAGGCAGCCTTAATGACTTATGCAAAGGGCGCAACCTTCAAAGAGACATAACAAATAGTATCTCACATGTATTAAGCTTGATATATATATCTGCATACTTTATCTACTTAATATAGACTTTATCTGCATACTTTAATTAAATTGATTCAAATTGACTGAAAAGACAATGTTACAAAAAAAATTCTCAAATAAATGCTGTCCTTTCGAACTTTATTTATCAAAGACTCCTTAAAAACTGAATCATGATTTCCACAAAAATAATAAGAAATGTTTCTTGATCAGCAAATCAGCATATTAGAGTGATTTCTGGAGGATCGTGTGACATTGAAGACTGGAGTAATGATGCTGAAAATTCAGCTTTGCCATCACAGGAATAAATCACATTTAAAAATATACTCAAATAGAGAACAGTCATTTTTAATTGTGATAATATTTTACAATATTACTGTTTGGCAACACTTTATTTTACAGTGTCCTTGTTATTATGCTACATGTTACTATTAATAACTATAAATTATACATAATTACATGGAAGGAATCCTAATCCTAACCCTATCTAAAGTACGTACATGTAGTTATTACTCAGTACTTAGATGTATGATTACATTGTAACAAGGACACCTTAAAATAAAGTGTAACCTGTATTTTGTATCTAATAAATGCTCCATTGGTAAGCATAAGAGACTTTTAAAACATTTTTAAAAAAATATTTCATCCCCCAAATGTTTTAACGGTATTGTAAATGAAATATGACCTTGTCATACTTTCTCAAACCTGGTTAACATGTTTCCAGTGTTGTTGTTATTGTTGTTGAAATAATACCTATAAATCAAAAATTGACAATATGAAATGAAAAAATCATGAGGTATACCATTGTGTTTATGTCTTTAATGTATTCTTTCTGTTCCTCATCCCTCTTGTATTCATTGGGCACATTTAAAGGACCCCACATCTCTCTTTCTCCTTCTGTCTCTCTCTGCTTCTCTTTTTCTATATCATTTACTCAGACTTGATTGGAGTGTGTGTAGCACTCGTGAGTGAATAGAGATGTAACTGGGTCGAGTCAGTATGAAAGGAGTTTTGTTGATCAAACTGTCATGTCATGAATAAATCAAACGTAATGAAAGCAGAGAGTGGACCCTTATAGAACAGAAAGCCCACGCATAGCCTGACCCAGGCCCACAGCTGCGCTAGTGTGAGACACACACAGATTGGAATTTAGGGTGTCATGTACTAAATGAAGTTGCACCAAATTTGACTAACTTAAGATGCCCATGGGAGTGACAAGGACCGAGCATTCTGTAAAGCCCTTTTGAAGTAATTTTCTAAATGATGGTCTCAGACGAGCTAATTCATCTTTCACCATAGAATACAAAGCATGTACTTACCTCAGCACATGCGTCAGCAGGTGCAGTTATGCGCTGCTCTATTCATCTTCAAGACCTGGTTAATAACATGCAAGCTAATAATCTTGCAGAGCCAGACTTTTGATTGTTGCGTCTAGTCTGGTCCACTTTGCAGATTATTATTGTTTTTTTTATATATATATATATATATATATATATATACAGTGTATGTATATATATATATATATATATATATATATATATAAGTCAGTAAATTTTTTTGATAAATTAATACTTTTATTCAGCAGAGATGCACTGAGTGATAGTAAAGACATTTATAATGTTACAAAACATTTATATTTCAAATATAAATGCTTTTCTTTTGAACTTTTTTAGTCATCAAAGAATCCTGAAAAACAAAATGTATTATGGTTTCCACAAAATTATTAAGCAGCACAACTGTTTTCAACACTGATGATAATAAGAACAAGAAATTTTTCTTGAGCACCAAATCAGCATATTAGAATGATTTCTGAATAATCATGCAACACTGAAGAGTCCCTTTTATGAATTTTGCTCTTCTGAAAGTTGGGGGTTAGAATGATTTAGGGTTTAAATAAATAGTCCTGTTCAGTATAAAATAGCTCTCTCTACCCACAGAACCATCACATAAATAGAAGAAGGTGATCAATCTATAGATCATTTTAGTGTGTGTGTGTGAGAGAACTGTCTAATCTATTTCTTTTGTCTTTTCTCAGGTATTCGTAATGTCTACTAGGCTACTGAGACCTTCCGATGTCCCTCACTTACTCTTCAGCACTGACAGGCTCAAACCTGACATTGGAGTGTGAAGGGACTGAACACACACACTTTTGGCTGTTGAATAGATTCTATCCAACATAGTTTGCCTTTTGTGTTTCAGATGAATCCGGTAAAAAAATTACACATTTAAAAAGGTTTAATGCATATACAGAACAGACTACTGTTCCGTTTAATTAAAAAAAATAAACCTATTCCAATATTTTCACATTTTGTTGTATGACCAATGACCCCCCAAGAAAGAAAAACAAATTATTTGCCTTAAATAAAGTCTTAATGGTTGGCCTTTTGCTCATGTGTATAGTTTGTGTGTGCAAAAATGGTGTTGTTGTTGTTTTTTTCACACAGTCTGTACAGCGTGTATTTGGTTTTCACTCAATTTTTGTTGAGCCATTGCCAGATACAACACATTCTTCAGTTCAGTTCTTACAATCAGCCATGTGTTGCTTCTCACAGGATCTTCCCTCTTCATCCTTCACTCACTTCAGCGCTGTTGGTAAAGTGACAGATGGGGAGAGGCCATAGGTCAAAAAGGGTGGGGACATCTATTAGAGCAGCTCTCTCTATTCTTCCTTCACTTTCTCACACTTAACACTTTACTTAGCTGTCTATAAAGAGGCATACTATAGACATACTATGTTGTTGTTTTTTATAAAATTCAAAAAATAGCAAAAGTTCACTGTGATGGGTATAGGAATAGGGTTAATGAAAGGGGACAAAATATATAGTTTGTACAGTATAAAAATCATTATGCCTATAGAGTCCCCATAAACCACATATACAATTGTGTGTGTTTCTAAAAATATTTTTCTCTCCAAAAGTTTAGCTAAGTAGACACAAACGTTGTAACCTCCATGCTTCTACATGCGTTTCTCTCAGATTTGAGTTTGTGTTTCGCATTTGTCAAAAACGATTACCCTAGCAGGTGTCTTACAAAGATGCTAAAAACACTTGGAAGTTATCAGTCATTTTTTACACCTTTATCCTTACATTCTCTTCACACATAGCTGGATTTTTTAGTTTATTTAGGGTCTTGGTAGTTTGTTCACTTTTACCATGTAGAAAACTTCAGCATTAAAAATATGTAGTATAGCATAATTTTTTAAATAAAATGTTTAAGGAAGGCTCTTATACTTACCAAGACTGCGTTTTATCTTAAAACTGTTGTGCTGCATACTTCATACTTTTTGTTCAGGATTCTTTGATGAATAGAAAGTTCAAAAGAACAGCATTTATTTGAAATAGAAATTGTCACTTTTGATCAATTTAGTGTATCAAGTCAATTAATTATCACTTTGTTTAAAAAAATGGAAGTGTATATAATATGAAAGGGATTGTTACATTTTAAAGCGTAATATCATACACTGATAATATAGACCTTGTAAACTGGCCTTATTTCTCAAGGCTCCATTGAAGAAAATTCAGCTAAATTAATTTAGTATAGAATTTCATTGTGTGTCCAGTCACAGTTTAAACAGTATGAATGAGTGTGTGCTTAAAAATTCTGAAACAATTATTTTATTAAAAACAACTCTTTATTTCCAATCACAATCAAATAACATAAATAAATAACTCTGAGCTTCAGCCCTTTGGCTTTTTTTAAAGTGCATTTAAACAGAAAAAAAAAAAAAATCTTCTACTCCACTATAAAAAAGTGGCACAAAGCAGTTTTACATAAAACCAGGAGAAACATTCTGGCCTTGAACACAAGAGCAGGCTGTAAGAGATACACACTCTCTCTCTCTCTCTCTCTATGCTTAGCTTGAGTGCCTTGTCCTTTAACAATGCCTGCATTCAGCCCGTAAAAGCCTTGACCACAAGAAGGAACAAAAAAAAAACCTCCCTCTCTCCCATGCCTTTCACAAAAGCAATTCTTAAAATAGTCTGTTTTGCAGTCTTCACCATCTCTGTTACCAAGAGAATTGTGTCTTAAAGGTTCATAGGTAAGGCAATGTCAATAGTGTTTCTATTAGTCTCCATCTGTTCCATTCAGTCTTTGCACTGTCCCTCTTTAAGGCGCTATGACCACGTCTCCCAGAATCCTGCTGTGGTCCACTAAGTGACAGCAACACAAGAGTCCACCAGCACTGAGATGGTCATGTGAAAATTTAAGTGTTCACCAGACTCTGCTTGTTTTTTCGTTTCGTTTTTTTCAGCGACCATGACGCAATCAGGTCAAGTTTCAGGGGCCTCTGTTTGGAACCGGTCTGCTGATCATCAGCGGATCTCAAGAACGTCAGAGGAGCGAGATCTATACATTCAGCATTGCTGCTCTCAAGATCATCTCCTCTCCTTAGAGCATTTTCTCTCTTAATCGTGCCCTTTATCCTGCTGGTATTCAAACCCTCTTCACACTGAAGTGACGGTCCGGACCTTGGCCGACAGCACCTGTTTGAAGCGCCTCTTCAGGTCTTGCATGTTGGGGGATTTGGGCCTGGGAATGAGGGGAGATCTTTTCTTCTCTGTTCCAGATGAAGCTGCATTGATGGGGGTCTGAGGCTGCTGCTTGGCCAGATCCACACACAGTCTATGGAAGGCACCGTGGACCTGGCTGTAGTCCTCGCTGGCGGACACCTCGTAGAAGGAGCAGCCCAGCGCTGAAGCCAGCAGGGGACCTTCTTGAGCATCCACACGCCTCACATGGAGAAGATCAGCTTTATTGGCCACTAGGATGATTGGCAAGGACCTATCCGTATGGGTGCGGATAACAAGCTGGTGGAGCTGGCCAATGAGATCAAAGCTTCGGCAGTCGGTTACGGAATACACCATAACTACGGCGTCCGCCCATTGAATGGAGCGAGACATCTGGTCAGTGCAGCTCAATCCATTAGCGTTCACCTGAAGAAAAGAAAAACAAGCACATTTGTCAGTTATGTAACATGTCTGTTGGTTTACTTATTTTTTTCAATAATAAAATGTAAACCAATGAGGTGTGAGATTGAACCGCCTAAACTTAAGAGTCTTTCACCCTAGTCCAGAAATAAAAGGAATTTTGTGGTTTTGGACAACTGCCTGGTTTAGGAAAAGAGCCTTGCATGCTAAACTTGGCACTAAAATCTCTGACTAAAGACATCTTGAAAGAAGTGCCCTGTAATTGAATTAAAATCCATTCTCTAATTTTGAAAAGCAGAGGGATAATTTAGATGGGCTGGTCTACTGTAACTGTTCTGAAGTGCTTTTTCATATCCCTAAACCCGCTGAGCCCTGCCGAAGCAGCAAAACCTCCCAACCACTGCTACAAATATCCCACAGCGCTGCAGCGAATCATTCTTTGGAGTCGAATCTTTTTCATGAACCGGCTCATAATAAATGTTCAAAACTCGATCAAAACACACGAAACTGTTGGTTTAAATGCAGATCTTTTTTTAAACATCTTATTTCAACCGTTGAATTTTAGCAATGTTTATTGTAAATGCAAATGACACATTTATGTTCTAAATGACTGTGTCGAATCATGGCTGCAACAAGCAAGTAGGACACGTGAAATGACAATAAACGGGGGGTGGGGGGGAGGAGGACGTAATACCACTATTATTTTAAACGCTGAGCTGAAAATACAACACGAAGCGATGTCAATACAGCGATCCCGTGCGAACCGTTTCTTTGAAACAGAACTGTTCGAAAGAACCGATTTGATTTCGATTAAGTCTTTCGTCAAGCTGCAGTACATGAATGTGCTGCCCCCGTATAGGAGTGCAACAGTGGGCATCCCGCTGGCCAATTAACCCCAAGTGTTAAACACAAACCCGGAAAAACACAAAGGAAGCGCTAAACGACAAAAGGCGAAGGTATGCGCCCATTCTACACTTCTCACCCGTGAAAAAGTGGCGTGGGAAAGATGCCCTGAGAGCACATAACGGTAAAAAAGTGACATTCAATCGCATTAGGAACGACTGTTCATGTATCGCGCATACTTACTTGAACCCCAGGTGTGTCTTGAACTTGGATGGCCAGTTGTTCTCCGTCTATCTGCACTTCTCTTGAGTACAGGTTGCCTGTGATACAAAAATGCAGATTAAAACATGATTTGACAATATCACTAATGAGTTTAAACGGTGTATACTAAATCAGTTGCCTTAGAAAGATGAAAAACTTACCCACGTTTCTCTCGTAGTCACCAATGAACCGCTTAGTGAGGAAACGAACCACCAGCGCTGCACGGGAAAAGGCAAGAAATGGACATGAATATCGTATAAGACACCAATCTACAATAAATTAGTTTTTCTAATATTACATTATTATAGGCAATAGTACTATGAGCTTTAAAATTCTGCAAATAGCTGTTCCACAAACATACCGGTTTTGCCGACCCCACTTCCGCCGATCACTGCGATCTTTATGACCCGGTTGGACGGGCACTCGGCGCTCGGGTACTCCGCGATGGTGGACATGTTCTGGATGAGACGCATTTTGACAAAAGAAAGACACTATCCAAAGCTTACGATGGCAAACTACGACGAAAAATCCACAGACACCTTAAAAGTAATGTCAGGATCGAAGTTGGTCGACGGCATACAAGCAAATGTTGTCTTTCAATGATAAAGTCGGTGGATTTTTCCAAAGTCCTACAAGCTGTTCGCACCAATACTGCAACTTGGTTTATTGAGCCGGGACGGGAGCTTGGGTTTATTTATACAGCCACAGATGCACTCGGCTCTGATTGGCTACTGCAGATAACGGTCACATTCCCTCGCCCCGCCCACTCCTTCACGTGTATGCGCCATAGGTATGCGCGAGCTGTTTTTATAACTGAAAAAAAGAGAAAGAATACCACCCGTGTAAACTGACAGTCGTTTCTGCAAAACCTCCCCTTAAAAGCGCTGCTGAGGAGGAAAATTAGATGTTGTTTTTACAAAACTAGCCATATAACCTGTAGATATGATTAAACCTGGAGGCAAAACCTGCCCTAAAAGACGCTGCTGAGGAGGAAAATTAGATGTTGTTTTAAAAAACTAGCAACATAGCCTTTAGATATGATTAAACCTGGAGGTTTTGAATGGGGTTTAGTCCTGTGATTGCTGATATCGGTCAGTTGTAAATGTGACTTCAAACGCGTGTAATGAGAATGTTATCTTGTCTCAATGATCTCTAAGCGCTTAACGTGTCACTTGCAAAGTGTGTGTTGTTTTTCTTTCGCCTACCAGATGAGAATAAGCTATTGATCAGCATCCCCATAGATTCGCCCCAGGACCTGTAAGTAAATAACACTCTCTCTCTCTCTCTCTCTCTCTCTCTCTCTCTCTCTCTCTGAGTGATACATTTATAGAAAACTACTAAATGCATATAAATTCACAGCAAATTTTTTTATATATATATATAGCCTATATATATCATTTTAAATGTCAAAGTTTATTGCCATGATTGTTTTGCATGCGATATTGTAATAGCATGATACACAGTAAAAGCAGTGTCAGGAAAAACTAAAATAAATTAAAGTAAATTAATAAAACACTTCTGCATTGATTATGCTGATCAAGCTTTGGTTGGTTTCTAAAAGGGTTCGAAGAACAGATGCACGAATGTCCTCTTTCAGAAACAGACAGAGCTCATACCTCGATAGTATTTTTCTGTCTGCATGCGCTCATGGAAATAACCAGTGGTCATTTTCTTATTTTATTTCTCATAAAAATGTATATGCATGAGAGTGTTTATTGTATTATTGTATTGTATATTGCTTTCAGTTTTATGTTCTCACCATCTGTATTTTCCTAAATCTGTGTATTCGGCAAAACGGCATATTTCTATGATGAATCAGAGCTTATTGTGCTAGCTTTCTCTATAGATTGGCCATTAAACATCACAAGTCAAAATGTTTGACATATTCAACCATGTGTTTACATGACATGCAGTTATGAGACTCAGTGTACAGCCAAAAGATCTGTGATTGCTTTAGTCAGGGGAGTGTTTTTTGTCTTCATCCAGAAGCTCAAGAGCAAGAGAACAGAGACCGTTTATCTCTCACATATTGAATGGTCCTGTTCAGCTTGCAGTCCTGCAACCTAGGAGTATTAGCACTTCTGAGCATGGGGTTCCCTCTGGAATTTAGACTGATTTTTGGGAATAGTGTTTTTCGATTTATGAGTACAATAAGGTCTGTAGTTAACTCTACTTTAACAGACTTTCACATTTTGTTCTACAACATAATTAGCACACAGTGACCGTCATACCTCAAATCTAAGTTTTGTTACAACCACAACCACCAATAAAACAATAGAGATTCCTGAGGGAACCCAAAGCGAATTATCCTTCCAAGTTTGATGTCAGGACTGAACAGCTCTATTTAGTGCACTCTCCAATATGTTCAATTGATGACAAACATCAGGAGTACTTCACCCAAAATGAACATTCTGTCATAATTTATTCACCCATTCTAAAATTGTATGACTCTGTTTCTTCTGTGGAATACAAAAGAAGATATTTTAAAGGACTGTTTTCGTCCACACAATGAAAGTCCACAGGGTCCAAAACAACATTGTACCTCATTGCATAGACAACAAAAAAACTAAAACATCGATACATTGTGTTCCATAGAACTATTCATTTAATCTAGGAACTCTACATCGCTTGTTGTTTCAATGGCAAGTGTGCATACAGTAAGTGCATCACAGAGTGTGTGTGTGTGTGCTTTGGTCTCTTCAGCATGTTCTGACTTGTCTTGGTCCCTCAGCAGTAGTCGGGGGTAGTGTGTGTCATTGGGGGATGCTGACATCTCAAAGAAGCCATTGACCCTTCCCCCAACACCTTACACATACAGAATGCTAACCCCACTCTGATTACATGTACATACAGACAATTATCATTGCTAGTGTGTGCAAATGTATGAGGTCTATGCTCATGAAATGTTAATGTCAGACTGTATGAGAGTAATTAACACACTGCCTAAGTGCTTTTCTCTCTGAAGTCATCCTAATGTTTGATCTTGCAGCGTTCGTTGCATGTTTAATGTCATTGTGCTCCTGAAGCGTTTTGAGGTTTTTGTCTCATCAGGTTCAGAAGATCAAAGTCTAACCTTGTTTTTGAACACGCACCTCATAATGAATATTTGTGTCTCTCTCCTACTAAATCTTCTTGATTGTTTGTGTGTGTATTGTTAAAAGAGAAAAACAAATTTAAAGGAATAGTTTGCATACAAATGAAATTTATTTCATCATTTACTCACCCTCATGTAACACGAACCTGTGTTGTTATTGACTAAAACTACTAAAAATCTTTTCAGTAATTGAAAGAAAGCTGAAATCAAATAACGTATAAATATTAGATGAAAAACTTAAATGACAATTAGAAATGTTGCCTTGGTAAAATACTTAAAGTTGAATGACTAAAATGACTAAACCAGAGCTAATATTGGAACACTGTTCCAAGGCTGTGTGACATTTTTTCTTCTGAATGTAAAATGAGACTCTTTGAAGAACATTCATGCTGTTCTTTTACATGTAATCAAAAGTGGTGTCAAGCTCCTAAAGTGACACAAAAGCACCTTAGAAGCATCATAAAAGTAGTTTAAACTGCATACTATTTTCCCAAGTCTATGAAGTCATACTAGTTTTGATTGTTATTCACTAATCTTGCCTTGAAAATCTAGCTTGACAGCTGTGGTCTCCATTCACTTTCCCAGCATTTGCTATAAATCTCTCATTTTGACTTGCACGAAAAAAAAAAAAGTCATACAGGTGTTGAAGGACTTGAGGGTGAGGAAATGATGACAGAATTCACATCTTTATGGCCTGTTTTGCATCTGATAACTTTCTCAAATCCCCCCATCCGTCTTTTGTCCACACTCGTGCGTTAGTCTGTGCAGGTATGCTGGCGGTGGGCCCTGCGTGATTAGCTGGTATGAATATATGATAAGAGGAATGATGACAGTAGGCATTTGCTGAAATTTGAAACTGATGGTGCTGATTCGCCGACATTCGACAGGCCATTGCAAGCTATGGAACGTTAACACTCAAATGCTCAAATACACACAGCTTTGTTCACCACATCAGAGCCACCTAAATGAGTGGATGTCTTTTAAGGCCTCTGGTGTGTGTTTAATGAGCATGAAAGGAAACTGCAACTGTATTAATGTATGTTTTTTCTGTCAACATAAGCACTACAATGATATTTTGGCCTTTGCCTAGGTGTCACCTGAAAAAAGAGAGAAAGACTCTGAGAAAAGAAGGACGAGATACAGTGGAGGGGAGAAGAGACAGATTATATTTAGAATTATATTGAAGGTATGAATTCACATCGACAATATATATATATATATTATATAATATTATAAGTAGGGCTGTCAAATGATTAATCACGATTAATCACATCCAAAATAAAAGTTTTTTTTTTACATAATATATGTGGGTGCACTGTGTATAATTATTTTGTATATATATAAATACACACACATGCATGTATATTTAAGATTTTTTATTTATTTATATATAAAATATTTATATTTATATATAATATAAATTATATATAAATCTATACACAGTATATACATGAAAATATTTCTTAAATATATACAAGCATGTGTGTGTATTTATATAAAATAATTATACACAGTGCACCCACATATATTATGTAAAAAATACTTTTATTTTGGATGTGATTAATCACGATTAATCATTTGACAGCCCTAATTATAAGAGAATTTGACAATTTTGAGAGAATATTAAGATTGAGGTTGAAGAATTTTAAATGTTTTGAAAGATGTCTCATGCTCACCAATGCTGAATTTATTTGATCAGAAATACAGTAAAAACAGTAATGTTGTGAACTATTATTACAGTTTAAAATAACTGTTGTTTGTTTGTTTAAATGAAGATCCTGTTTTACATTATGACTGTTTTGTTTTTTGTTTTTCAATTTTCACCTTGATTAGTGTTTACATTTACTTGATTTTATTCCCTCAAAGTTCAAGAAGACATGTTAATTTTAACAGATTTACAGAAGCTTCCTCTCACATCTGTGAAAAAGTTCCCACTCTTGTTTACTGATAGTGTCTTGTATATAATGCTAATGCTAGCACCAGTTCTCCACTGACTGTCAACGCTAATAAGCCTGTGTTAACTATTAGTATGTTGTCTGATAACAAAAGGCCCAGGTGCTGCGCAACAGGAAGCGTCAATACACTTGTCAGAGGTGAGGACAGAGCGCAATGTTAAGTTATTAACATGTTGTTGAGGACACGTCCAATCTGGTCTTTCATCTAATTGTCACCTAGTTAGTGAAGTGTGAGGTGGGCATGAATGTGTGTAGCCATGTGTATTTGTCAGGTTCAGGGGGGATTGTGATATTTAATATCTGTAATATTCATTTTCAGTATCTGTGTGTATTTGTATCGGACAGGTTTACAATTGAACCAGCAGACACTTGACATGAAGAATCCACATCAGGAGAGGCCTGGTTGACAGGAGATGAGCAGGGAGGTGTCACTCACACAGGGGTAACAACAGGGAGGCCGGGTCAGTAGCTGGGTAACACAGCCTCCCTATAGGGGGGCAGTCAGTGAGGCAGGGGACGTCTGAGCGGACAGG